CCCCAAAACCCCAAAACCCCAAAACCCCTAATAAATTACAAATGATTGGAGATTATATATAATTGATAACGATGAGCGACTATATTCACAATAATGCAGTTAATAAAGACTACTCCCCAAGTAATAGCATGGGCAATAGCACAAATTCATTACAAGAGCCTGACTATATTATCATGCCCAAACAGTAAGTTTATGGCAAATTTTTGGTAAATTTGGAGTAGAGTCCATCAGACCCCTGAAGTTCAAATCAAACAGAAATAAAGAAGTTGAGCATAAGAATGAACATCAAAATGTCCTATACTCAAATGAGTATTTAACGACATTACTCACAGAGCTACCCAATTCTAAGGTAAATGCGAGGTGATCATTTGGCAGAAATCAAAGAAATAAGAATAAGAAGCTCAAGAGTAAAAATAAAATACCTTTTACCAACAAGGTAGTCCATAACACTCTCAACAGTCAGAGCAGAGTAATCTCAAAATTAAGCAACTCAGTTGGAGAGTTACCTCGCCAGAAGAAGTTTCCAGCTTCGTTTGCAAAATTTCCAATGTTTTCAAAGGTATTCTCTTCTGGTTACCTTCAATAGAAGCATCAGCTATCCAAGGATAAGTTAATTCAAGTATGGTTTCATCATTTACTTCATAGAACGGGCAGAGGAAATAATATATTATGAGTTTGGAAAAGTAATAAATCTAAGGAAAGAAACACTTCAGGTATGTACTTCCCTTTGGTATCCTTTAGAAATGTCTTTGATCGAGGTCAGTGGTGACCAAACCCCTCAGCGCAAGCCTCAGGTCTATAATTCGTATGAGAATATTATGCAAAGCAAGAAAAATTATGAAGATAATTTCTTTCAAATTTTACACAAAAATATGAAAGTTAAAGACAAGAAATCTGCACAAATAAAGGGGAGTCAGGATTCTAATACTGTGGTGATCTCTAAGGATAATACTATCTCAAGAATCTCAAATAGTAAACCGATTAGGGAACTTCCAATTGTCTCCCTTGGAGGTTTATTCGATCTAGCTGGTATTTTATTTCTCTAAAGCATATTAGAAGTTAATAAAAATCTCAAGAACACGAGAAAGTTTGACACAGTTGTCAATGAGAAAACTGATGTTCCAAAGAAACCTTCAACTGATCAACAAGTGAAGAAATCTCAAGGGAGTTCCCATCTTGACAACCAAAAGATTTTCGTAGTCAAGAACCCTGATAAAGATCTTACAGAAGAGGAAGAAGAGATGGTTTTTCTCAAAAGTAAATACAACAACAGGTATAAATCTTGCTCATAAATAGATCAATCAGATCAAGGAAGTCTACCAGACGCTCGAAGATCAAAAGAGTGCAGACAGGAAGGAAATCCCGTAAGAATGAGAACTCTAGCAGGGACCATATCTACAACCTTCGGGACGATATCTTAATATCTCGGTTTCAGCGAGGACAGTCAAATAATGAGAACCAGCCTTATGTTTCTGTAAATCTGATCTCTTCCGGTACTTAGTCTCTAAATCTTTAGAAGATGGCAAGGAAATTCCTAGCCCTGCAAAATTCATGAAGCATAAGTTTGAAATCTCCAGTAGCGATGAACACCATAAGATCAAAAGTTTAAACTTAATGATGGGCAACAGATGTGTTAAGAAAGCCAGGCTAAGGAGAAGAAGCAGTAAACTACAGATAAATACTGTTAATGAGGAGAATCACCCTAGAAGTCCTAATGAACCCAGATTGATTGATGTGGAAAAAGTTTACAGAAATTTTAGTAAACAGAAGATAACCAGGTACTTTGATACTAATTTTCTAGAAGATTGGAGCAAAATCACAGTTATGAACCCGCTTCTAAATATGAAAACTACGAGAAAATTAAGCTAGAAGGATGCTTAATCTCTTCGAAGAATAACATCAAAGTGAAAGATAGAATCTTCCACCAGATAGATATGGAAAAGCTAAAATAATGATATCTCGGTTAAAGATCCCCACAAAGTTTCTGAGCATAGGTATGCTTGACCTTATAGTCACAGCTCTAGAGGAACTTTAAGGCAATATAAATTATACCAGAATATCCAACAAGAGTTTGAAAAGTTATCTGGCAAGACTAAAGATGCTTACAGCAAGAAAGATACAAGGAATCAGTAAAGATTTAGTATAACCTTCTTAGGGGAATGTGGTTTAATAATCAGCTTACAGAAATGAATTCTCAAAGACTCAGTACTATTGAAGTCTTAAGTATAGATATTAAGTCAAGTGCGGACAATATAAGAAGCAGGAAGATGCTGTATCATAGCGGTAGAGTATTCCAAGCAAAGACAATTCTTCAGAAGATCTTAGGGATCCCAAATAGTTAATACCCACACCTTCAATCTTAGTCAAAGCCAAAGGGGTTTTGGGGTTTTGGGGTTTTGGGG